AACAACCATAGCACTTCTCCGACACGTTCCATAAGTTGTAACAAACCGGCCATCTTGCACCTCGCTTTTACAAACGAGGAGCTAATGATCAACCTAGTAACAGCGTGCACTCATTTGGACCGCCACCATCACGCGACACTAGTTACACTTCATGTGCTACACGGAGTACATTAAAGAAAGCACCAAAGGTTCATACGTAGTGATCAATTATGATGACCTGTCCTACCATGTTGGACTTTCCAAGGTACATGTTCATCTGAGGTGGCCTGCGGGGAGTAAATCAACTAGTCCAACGGCCTAGTGGTAAGCACATCAGAAACCTAAATACACCCGATCCAAAATGATGAAGTACATCCCAAGGAGCTCTACTCGCAAATGCATGGAATTGAGGGATTTAACATGGCTCGACCACATAGCCTCTCCGACAGATGACACCTTGGATATCGATAAGACGCAAAAAATCACTGAGTCAAAATAGTCTGGGGGATAGAGTAAAGAACCAGCAAGGCGCTGTGAGAAGATTTTGATCGTATCTCAATCTCCCATGCAGACAAGTAAACAAAAATTACAGGGTTAAGCGTAGAATTCCTGCTTGACACACAGAATGTGGGTTAGCACAAACGACAAAGGAGTCGGTCAACCTCCTTGTGCACATTTATCTTACGTCCTACCTACGCAGCCCATGCCGCAATCAGGTCTTAAACATACACCACTTATAAGCAATGCAGTACTAAAACAGATGATGTGTTTGCGTGAAGTACAGCTCCCCCGGTACAGACGAAGTCCGCTATAAGTCGCTGAAAGTTGCGGCCGAGTTCAGCTAAACCATCAGCAATAATCTTCCAGTGATGACTTGAGTTGAACGGTCCCTAGATGTGGAAGCACGGGATCATATGTACAATCTACAATAGTGGTAGCAGTGCAGGACAAGTGACTTATCGCCGCAAACAACTAATTATGGTGATGTGTAAGATTATTCAATCCATGGTAGCTGTGGCGATGTTGGCTTACCTAAGAATATGTGAGTTGACACACCCTGTCCAATCCTATCGAACTTCAGTGCGGCGTATTCAAGGCTCGGTACTCTGGCCCCGCCTGTTCCTAGTCTTCATAAATGAAATCACAAAGATGCTGTCTACAACTTTCCTAATATTCGCCGATGACCTGAATTTAGACTTGTTATCACCAGCGAGGGTGATTACACAGCCCAACAAAATGAGCTGGAAAAGCGCACATTTTGTCCATCCAGCAGGTGCTGTAGTTCAAGGTTGCGAATTACAAAGTCCTGAGCAGATGCCAGCAGAGTAATCCCAACTACCGGTTAAAGCCATAACGTCTACAGCGGGCTTCTCCTGAGTGCGATCTCGGCGTGCTCGTACAACACGACCTTGCGTGTTCGAGACAGACTGAAAGACATCAAGGAAAGCAACCCTCCAATTTGGCCTCCTTCGTAGTGCGCTAGGGAATTTCGGCGCCACAATGTTTCCGCAAATACTGGGCGCGTATGCAACCAGCAGGCAGAATATGCTATCCACTCGTGATATCCCTGGCAGTAGCACTACATCACCACACTTGATGTTGCACGACGCAGGGCGACAAAGCTCTTTAATGGTTTACCCTTTCTTTCTTACCTGCTCAGGCGAAATCTCTAAAAGGATTCATTGGACGCTATTAACATCTACGGTGAGAATCTCATAATAGTATATCGGATCCTATGAAACCCCAGCCACACCTGCCACTACCTACTGAATGTCAGCGAAACAACGAATCGTAGAGAACACTTGTCTCCGCTGGCCACAGCGCAACCAAATGAAACGTCGAGAAACCTTTTCGCATTCCGAGTATCACAGCGTCGGAACTCCATACAGGCGCATATAACTAAACCTAAATAATAAACGCCCTGATCCATTTGCACTACCTAAGCTAGTCCAAGACCATCAATATAATGGCATTAGTGCAGAGAAACCTGTGAATATTGTCATAATGCTGCTAAACTGCAGGTGGGAATACTCACACATATGCAACTGAAAAACTCATGGTCAATCACGTATCGTGCGTGTTCGTTTCCTGAAATTTTCAAATTCTTATGTTAACAATAACCATACAACGAAACTTGTCAAGCATTTGCTTACTACGTGTTATAAGTCATTGCTCAAGTACTCCAATGCCAAGAAAGGAACTGGTGCGGGTTACTCAGATGCTGCTTGATATGAAAGATTGAACTCCATGCAAGCCAGTTTATCCGTTTGGTAACTTAAAATATCATGAACTAAGTTAGCGAAGCATTAATGGCATTCTGTGCAGGTGAATTATACTAAAATTATGTGCAAATAAGAGAAGAAAACTTCATGTACCCGGATCAAATCGTGGGCTTGTTGCTCCAGCAAATTCAGGCAGCAACACGAAAAAGTATAGGCTACATTTTCTCTGCAACTTTCCCCTACATTGGTATCTTACAAATGATATTCATCCCATTCACTTATAATGAAAATACTGGTGCTTGTTAGCGACAAACTTGTCAACCAGTGCAGACTTATACATTTGTATATATTTATATATGTATATATATATATATATATATCATTTCCAAGTAAAATTGGACGTCTCGCAAGCAACTATGAACAGTTCGTAAACCACATTGAACGTTTTGCAATCAAATTTGGACATTTTGCAAAAGAAACTAGACTGTTTGTAAACCACTTGGGACATTTTACAAACCACTTTGGTTTCGCAAAACACTATGGAGGTTTTGCAATATACTTTTGACGTCCTGCAAAAATATGGACTTCTAGCAAGCCACTTTGCACACATTGCATTTTTAGCTGAAAATCGGCTATTCTCTTGCAAGAAATCAAAAGTAAAGCGACTAAACGATTTTCAGACTACATCGCTGTCATGCTAATTCAACCGAGTTGTGTAACCAGTGGGTGCCACTGCAAACATTCCTCTTAATCGTGAACTTAGATCGCCTCGAGCAAAGACTTTGACTGAATATCCCCTATCTCCCCACATATCTTCTCGTAGTTTTTGTGCTTCTGACTTTACGCATGGACCTGTGTAGCTATGTGACTATTGGAAAGTCAGACTTCCAACTCGGGTAATCTACCATCTTAAACAAATGTTACCTAACATTTGAGGGTCGTTGTGATGCACTTTTTGTATTATAGGAATACGACACGCCATCGCAATGAGCACCGCCGTTCTCACAGTATTGAAACTCGTCCAATTCGAGCACGTGGACCGTAACTGATGAAGCAGATATGCGGTGATCCAGTTGTCCCCTATCACACTATGGACCTTCGCTTATTGTTTGTGGGTCAACCTAGTTACCTGCTCGATTATTGGATTAGGGCAGGCTATCGTGAATCCACAAAACACAGCCTAGCTTTAATAGCCTAATGCTGCAAGTGGTTACCCAAGAATATTTTACAGTTTTCGTGCAGCGCAAGGCTAATAAATCCATGCTGTTTAATGGAGTCATGATAGCCCGCCTTGATCCAGTAATCGAGCAGTTGAATAGGTTAAGCCACACAAAATACTCCAGTGACAGAGGACAACTGGGTCATCGGCTTTGCCCGTGGTGAACACCTTGTGCTGCACTAAATTTTTAAAATGTTCTTCAGTAACGATTTGCAGCACTAGGCCATTAAATCTAAGCTGTGTTTGGTGGCCATGATAGTCTGCATTAATCCAGCGGATATTGCCTGCCGGAATGCTGCTTCATGTGTACAAGCCACAGAATGCCCTTCCCAATAACGCCACTGTTGCTTCTTGCATTATCCATCTTTTAATGCCGTATTGACCTTACATAATTTACGCTTGTGAATCGGGCACTAACATAACCTAACGAACGGTGTGATGGCCGAATCTCTCTAGAAAAGTCCAAATAAGCAGCTTTCTGAATGCCATCGTGTGAATACTATGGTAAGTCCACCAAAACGATACTCATTTTCTGACACGGTTTCTATGCGATTATAGTTCCCATTCTCATCATTCAAGTATATTTGATACTCACCCACATTTTTACACGCAGGATACCACTGCCTAACCTTTCACACAGCGGCCTATGATGTACCCAAGGGGAAAAGCAATATTTGTTTGCAAAAATTTTGCAATGTATGCATAATATCAGAACATCAGGCTTGAAATTTCCCAAAGAGGCATTCAGTTTAAGTTAATACGCTGCGGCCACTGCATTTGCTTCATCAAACGAAAATTATGTGTTTAGGAAAAACAGACCAATTTATCTGAAAAGTTGTCTCACTCACAGAAGGAGTTGGCATGACCTTTTTTTGGATCTTGCCCTTTGGTGTGCTAAGGGCAATGCACACGGTCTTCCCCTTTCATCCTTTAAAATATCACCATGGTCATTTTTGGTGGTAACCTCATCGAACGTTTGTACAACGCAAGTTACCAAACATTTTGACTAACATGGTTTGCTCAAACTCAACCAATTGCATATCAGTGAATACCAGTAGATTAATTTCCGTTGATGTGCTTCTCGTAAGCATCTTATTCAACCACAAAAATTATGTTCAGTGTATTTCTGTCTCCATAGGATTAGACAGCACATAATCGGGATCACAATAAACGTTCATTCAAACTTGAACATGTCGACGCGAATAACGGAGAAGCCGACCAATGTACATGGGATACAGCGAAATATAGTGGGACTAAATATATTTGCCCAACCAGTGAGCGAATTGTTTGTCAATTAGCTATTAGTGGCTCAGTAAGCTAGTTAATTTGGTCAGGTGAGGAGATCATTCAAATAGAATACAATTGTCTACTGTTCACTCCCTAGTGACATTGTCGCTACCTCATCCTTAGATTGACACCAACCAGCATAATGTCAATCTTTGTATATGAAGAATAAATGTTACATTAGGGTAATGGTACTCGAGATTCTGATGTTATCAAGCATGGTGCATTGTGGTAAACAAGATCACGCACTCTGTATCAATGAAGCAGAAACCGAGAAATTACGGTTATCTAACGGTATTTATATTTCTAGAATGCGAAACAATATGTGCAATTATTTACATTTTGTGGTTTTGTCAGAACACAGCGCTGCCGATATTCCTTCAGCGAGCCGCTTTCCTATACAAAGCTTGACTCATGATAGGCCGGAGTCAATAGACGTGACGCAGTTGGGGCTGGCGGTGAATTGGGCTTGGTGGTACAATTTAAGTGTTCCGTATTCGCCGACCACTTCCATTGTGCTGTTATCCGCGAATCGGTTGTGGTTTTGCTTTGACAAGTACTAGGCTGCATACAAGGCAACAGTTGCGTAATTTTTTCTTTGTTCAGTTTTTTCGCATAGTTAATGTTTAAAGCTAAATTGCTGAGTTGTACATCGGCTGATGTTGGAACCTCAGCTGAAGGATTACCACTAGTGATCAGTTGCGACTTTGACTTTGGCAACGTCAGTTGCCCGCCGATCACATGATCCGGTTGACGAATATCGTAGTACGTGTGTGACAATGATGGGTGACGTGAATTGAGCGTTGCATACTGTTTTCCAAACACGTTTTGTGCACTCTTGGTCATCATTCGGGTTGCAGAGTAAATCATACCTCTGCGCGCAGCAGGTAACAAGCATGACCCATCTCCCCCCTGTAACGGAGCTTGTGCCGAATAAGCCATATAACGAGCATTTATTACGTGCGGTTGAGAAATAGAGTGGGTGCGCACATGTGCTGGAGTTGAATAGACCAGTGAGTAAGAATTAACTCTAGCGTTTGGGCTCCTGTGCCTCATTTCAGCATCTGGGAAACGATTCCTATGCATCAGATGAATTGCATCTAACTGATGAGATACTTCCTCATTAGCATTTGATTCTGTCCCAGCCTCGGATGAGTTTAATGCAACTGGACTCATGGTTAACTGTCCAGAACCGTCAGAAAAATTTTGAAACCGATTTGGAACTGTGCTGGTCAGCAATCCGAGATAGTCCAGAGTTTGATACTCGTCTGTAAACACAAAATAGTCACATAAGTTAATGATTCAACAGCAGGATTTCGAGCCCACAATTTATGTGCACGGAGAAGGAATTGGATTTTATACCAACGCGACACACAAACCCATGGTTCCGACTGGACTTGCATTTCGACATAATATAACGAATTAGCAAAGCATTTTTATATTTTTCACTTTTTGTAAGTTCTGTACCTAGATCAGCATCCGCTTGTGCGACATCTTGAGGTTGCTAGCCAGTGATATAGAGGGAAACATTCCGAAATCGCAGCGTAAAAAACCATAGAAAATTGCGGCACCTGTATGGTTCAAAGACCTTCAACTTCCTGGTAGTTTAAGCCATTGGCAGTGTACATCATTTTCTACCGGCCTGATTCAAAAACACGAGTGAAGTATACATTTTTTAAAACTACTGCGATTGTTTCGCTTTGAGTTGACAGATAGTGTCTCGTACTGAAATGACCGAAAAAGGAAAATGCGTTACTCGCTTAACTAAATTAAACACATACACCTGAGAGCCCGCAATATCTGTTACTTGTTGTATTCTGACAAAACAAAACTCCACGACTATTCTTTAGTAAAACCCCGCCTACCACCTCTGTTATCCTTGTCCGTTTTATCCATTTGCTTTAACGCAGATGTTAGACAAACACAAATGGATAATGGCATCTTGTTTCAGTCATCAAGATATATAATGCACACGGTTTTACATGCGCAGTACTTAATCAATCTGCGTCTGTCACGTATATCGCATTTCCGTGTGCCGCTGATGCAGACATGTGTCTAACTGAATGAAAATCTACTGCTGGGAGACCGCAAATGTATGTTTCGTGGTGTACTCCGGGGCAGCTTTTCAAATGAGGAGAATACGACCATCTAATAATATACAGTTAACAGTTAAATAGTGATGTATCTCCAACATATCACAGTCTTAAAAACTCAATACTCAGGGCGCGCAACTGTAATGTTGGGGTTGTTAACTTCATTCCGAATACTTGACCAGTAGAAACATCTGGACCAAAGAAATGTGAGGGAATTTTGATTCATAGCGAAAAATAAAGTACTGCCATTAACACTGAGAAATAATCGTATGGTCCGGTTACCTGATGGGTTTGAAGTTACGCTCTCGCATTTCTGAAAGAGGTTTTGCTCCTCGACTTGTTCTAACTGCATCAAAGAAAATATATAATGATTCCGATAAATTACTGTTGGGATGTGACAGTAATTGCTGATTGTAACCAATGACTACGTTTTGTGATCTCAAGACCGCAGCAGTCATATGTTTGGGAATCAAGATATTGACGCTGGAAAGTAGTATACGACAGACTATAAACTTACATAAAGGTGTTCGCATCAAAGATAAATTGTTCATTAGGCAAGTAAGTAGTTCCATCGCTAAGTGAAACTTCATTCAATCAGGTAAATATATGGAGTGATTGTGAAAATGCGGATGTTGCTTTAGGAGTAACTATCGCACATACATAAAAACAAATTCCCAAATGTGGAATAAAATCGGTAGTGGCCAGGGTGCTCTTAAACCACGCCGACATATGACCAGATGTAACCTGGAGGTGTGGGTAAAACTTCACGATGGACTACCCCAGATGGAAACAGATCCCCGGGAGACGATTCCACGGATGACCGTATTACTCCACTTGTTCTCTATTGCCCTACTACATTCTTCATTGCATCTGTTGGGCTCCTGGTTCCTAGTTACTTCATTTCTACATGCATATTCTGTATTTTTCATTAACTTAATCCTCAGACCACATAATTGATTTTAGTTGTGGTGTCATTCTTTTCTACCTCTACGCTAAAAGGCGGTTAAGGTTACGCATTTTCCAATCGCATTGTCTTTGACAGCTCCTACACGACTACGATGCACTGAATGAGTCTCGATTTTGCAGTAAATAGGCTTTTATTTTATGTTTTACTTATCTGTTTAATTCACCATTTTCAACACCACATTTTTCGTGCATAGTCATCCAAGTCTCAAATAACCACCTAGAAGTGAATGATGAAAGGAAATCAATTGCACGCACCCAGCATCTCAACCATCAGGCGGCCCATAACACATGTTGATTGCGTCAATTCCATAATTAGACCTAGGAAAGTC